GTAGAGAATGCCCTGTCAACCACCATCACTAGTCAGGTTCTGAATCTCATGGATCTGGTTATTAAAGAGCTCAAAGCAGACAGTGGAGGAAGGAACTCATCCCAGTCTCAAAGCCAAGGTGGGCAGGTCTTGGGCTCGAACCTGGGATTCTGATTCCACGCACAGTATTCCCTCTGTTATTGAGCCTAAAATAGAAGGCTGACCTTTTGGTGGTAATTTTGTTCTTGACAAATGCCAGAGAGCTATTCATTAGTTTACATTCCCAGAATCATGGCAGAATGGAGCAGAGGAAGACAGGAAGGCTCCAGGCACCCCATGCAGCTCAGGGATTCTGCAAAGCAAGGAGATGTCTTACTATTGGCATGCGTTCATCTTCCTGACCCTGCTCTGCGAAAGTTTGTCCAGGTCCCAAGAACTCAGAGGGAGGGACCCTGGGAGGCCAGAGTGGCTCATAGTGGGTAGTACTCCTAGGCCTGAGTGTGCCCAGCCCCCAGGTAATTTATTTCTCCTCTACTCACTTCTTTCCTGATTTGAAATAATATTCATAGGTACTTGCTCAGAACCTAGCATGCTCAGAACCTTGGGTTTGATCTCAGCACCACATAAACTGGACATGGTGTCACAGGCCTATAATCTCAGTGCTCAGGGAAGTAGAGACAGAAGGATCTTAAGTTCAAGGTATTTCAAGAGAGATCAAGGCCAGTCTGAGATTTGTCTCAAAATAATAGTACTTAATGGTAAGGAATCTAGAAAATTCAGACAAGCACTCAAAAGACAATGAAGCCCCACCCTAAACCCATCCACTCCTCTCAGCCTCAGCCCCACAGCTGTTTTCTCTGCTCTGGACAGGGATGAGGAAAACGTAGGGTTTTCTCAGTAGGAGTTTGTGGACATACCTTTGCTAACCTTCTCTTGCTTGTCACGACTTGAGCAGTTCCCTAGGCACTTAATCCTGCTTTCTGCTAGCATTTTTGCCAACCGTGGAGGCTTTCATTATTTGCCTGTGTCAGAATCCATTGGCTTTACTCCAACACTAAACACATCCATGTCTTAACTATTCCCTGTATTATACCCTTTCAGCAGCATGCGGTTCCCCCTCATACACGCACTCCCACGGCTGCCACCAGTGACTCCAGTTCCTAGGCCAGACTGGGTCCAAAGGATTACAAGTCCCCACAGCCTTTGGTACACATCCAAGAGCTGTTCTTGAGACAGACACAGGGTGAGCCAAGCTTGTCATCAGTAGAGAAGACCCCAGGGAGCTTGTGTGCCTGTTAACCATCCATGATCTCTGGCATGTCTATGTGTTTGCAGCCCTTGTGTGTTGACACAGGCCCAGAAGGCCTCTGGCATCTGTGCTGTAGCTAGCTCATCCAGAACTGCCTTGCTGGGATGAAGCAAGAATTCTGAGGTCCAGGCCTCAGCCATAGCATTCATCTGCAGTTCTCCCCAGGTCCATACAATGCCCCAATATGGTAAGTTGGCATGGAAGAGAGTCCCTTGTAACTGCAGCATACAGGAGAATAGAGAGGAAGGAGGGGAGACTTGAGCAGCAGCAGGAGAGGGAAATGTAAGGTAGCACTTCTACTCAGTAGATCCTGCGAACTCTGACAAATGGGGTTGGGACCAGAAGCCTAATGACATGAGCTCAGTACCCAAGTCCTATATGACAGAAGGAAGGAGCCATCTTCTCCTCCACAAGCATGCTGTGGCACATGCATGCCCACACATAAACACACGCACACACCATAAATAAATAAATAGAAAAAAATATTTTTAAATGGTAAGACCACAGATGGGGATGTCCTTTTTCTATCCAACTCTAATTACATGTAAATTTTATTGCCAGTCTAAGATTTGATGCTGGCCCCAGATGAAAGAACTTTCTTTTGTCTTCTTGTCAAAAGACCCAGGGTTCCCTACATTCTGGGCAAGTGCTCCACCACTGAGCTCTGCCCTGCCCAGGAGAGGACATTAATCTCCTGCTTATCCCCTCGTGAACCTCACTCCAGTAAGTCACAGTGACAGAAGACCTCCAGAGTCCCAGCTTTGTCACTTACTCATTCAGGAACACACGGACTCAGTCCCTACCCTTTTCCAATACTCAGCTTGTTTGTATGTGTGATAAATCGGCAGCTTGGGAAAAGCCACCCGACACTTTGATTTGTTACAGGGTAATTCGTTTTCAAGGCGAGTAAACAGCTTGTAAGCGCAGGGGTTTACCACTGTAGGTGATTAAGAAGTAAGTAGCTATAAAGTTCACTGCGCTAAGCTATGGCTGATCGTCCCTGTGGAATTATACTGAGCAGTGTTGGGATCTGCCAGATATTCGCCGTGTTTCCTCTGCTGGCCCCTCCTGCTACCATCTGTCAGATGCCCAGTGAGGCTTCATGGGGTCTAGAGCCCAGTGGCACTATTCTCTCTGTAACAGCCATCTGAGGTAGACAACAGATGAGGACAGGAAGCACTGCCTCCCAAAAACGAACTCCTGCTTGAGACTGCCCACCAGGCCCCACCCCCCTGCCTTTGCTGTGGTGCATGTCGCCTACTCCTAGAGCCTGACCAGGGTATGGGTGAGCTTGGTCATTTGAAAACACCAGTTCTTCATGAACATTAGTACAGAAAGCTGCTCCTTGGCCAAGGCAAGGTCCCAGTGAGTGTTCAGGGAAGGGGTGTGTAGAGCAGGAGTCCTGTCTATAGATGAAGAGATGAAAGTAGGAGGTGCAGTACCTTGCCTGAACCCCACCCCACCCCCACTGGGCCAGTAAGTTTCCCCAGGGGGCAGAACCTGTTCTACCCTTTGTACTGCATGGCTGAACACAGTGCTCCCATAAAAGTATTTTATGCTTTTTAGTATACGTGGTCTCCATGACAATGACTTTACTCTGTATAGCCAGGCTGCACCAAGTTCCAAAAGTTTGTCCCCCTAAGACTTTACTTGAAGAGTTAGTTACTTGTCTTGTTGCTATGACAAGCAGCTTCAGGAAGGTCGATTTGGGCTCCTGGTTTAAGGGGATGTAGCCCATTATGGTGGGGAAGGCCTGGTGAACGGTCGTGGCTGATCACACTACATCCACAGTTAGGAAGCTGAGAGATGAATGCTTGGACTCCTCTTGCTGTCTCCCCCAGCCCATAAGATCAGAGTGGGTCTTCGTCCTCAGTTAAACCCCTCCGGGGACACTCTCACAGACACCCCAAAGGTATTTCCGTGGCAATTCCGAATCTAGTTAGATTTGCCATCACTTATCAAAAGGCAGTGGCCAGCACCTATGTTCTAGGGAAGTAAGACTGGTCCTGGAGGAAGTGTCATGAGCTCGAGGGTACCCTTCCTGTCTTACCTTACTGTAGCTTCTGACTCGGGGAGCAGATGAATACAGGCTGCAGGGCACCAGCTCCAGGGGCTGCAGCAGAGAGAGACCACTCGTCTGCATGGGCTCGTGGCTTGTTGAGGTATTTGTTCCTTGGGAGTTTTCTTATTTAGAGAATAAAATCAAATGTTGCAGCTCTTTGGGAGGCATGATGTAAGGACTCAGAAGCCCTAGTCTGTGCAGAGAGTGAGGCAGGGGTGCAGTTCCTGGACTGGCCATTGAGACTAAACTTTGTCAAAACAAAGTACTTTGGGGGGTTTTTGGTGGTGGTGGTGGTGGTTTCTTTGTTGAGACAGGATCTTACTATATTGACCAAACTGGTCTCAGATTCAGAGAGTATTGAGTATTAGGATTTAAAGGTATGTTCCACCACACTCAGCATAAAGAACACTTTTCTTTAAAAAAAAAAAGAAGAAGAAGAAGAAGAAGAAGAAGAAGAAGAAGAAGAAGAAGAAGAAGAAGAAGAAGAAGAAGAAGAAGAAAAAGAAGAAGATTTGCCAGACAGTGGTGGCACACTCCTTTAATCTCAGCACTCGGAAGGCAGAGGCAGGCACATCTCCTACTTTGAGGCCAGCCTGGTCTACAGAGAAAGTTGCAGGACAGCCAGGGCTACACAGAGAAATCCTGTCTCAAACAACAAGAACAATAATAATAATTTATTTTTATTTTATGTATCTGATTATTTTGCCCATATGAATGTATATATACCATGTGTGCGCCTGGTGCCCACAGGCCAGAAGAGGGCTTCAGCTCCCCCAGAACTGGAGTTACAGGTCATGCTCTGAGCTGTCATGTGGGCTCTCTACAAGAGCAGCCAGTGTTCATCTCTTAGTTACTAAAGAACACGTTTAATGGGCATTTGCCATACACACTGCCTGTGCTGGGGCCTGCTGGGAAGCCTCACATCTCGCCTTCTCCCGTGGTTGAGGCCATGAGTGTGAACAACCAGAAACAGACTAAGAGGCCACAGTAGCCACTTACCTGCTCCTAAGAAGTGGGTTTCACCATCCAAAGCTAAGTATCTCTAAAACTGGGAGCTAGGCCCCTCCCCATGTTGTGCGACCACAAGTCACGGAGCCTCCACACCTATGAGTAGCTCTCGGGTGGGCTATTGGTGACTCTTCTCCAGATCTATAGCAGAACCCACGTTACTCCTGAACCTGCCCTACCAGGACTGCCAGGGCAGAGTAGGTTCTGGTAGGGGACGACAGTCAGGTCTCTCTTCTCTCCCTAGTGACTTCTCAGCTTGCTTTGGCAGAATGACGCCCAAAATTCAACCAGGAGGATGCTGGTCTCTCTGTGATACCTTTAACAGGAGCCCTGAAGCCCTAAAGCATAGCCAGCCATTGCTATGGTTACAATAGACACCACAGCCCTGCTTTGTCCTGGTCAGTGGCAGCTGTTCTGAAAGCAGCTTCACACTTGTCCAGATTAGCCCCAACCTTGAGAGATCAGCTCATTCTGGAAACTATGTCAAGATTCACAGGGGACAAGTCCAGTCCAGTTGTCTTAAAATGGAGGAGAGGCAAAAGCTGCCTCATAGTGTCTCCAGCTCATCGTGGGGGCGGCCCCCCTTTGCGAAGCCCGCCAGCACTCTTCTAATTAATCATGTCGCATGCTGTTGTCTTGCAGGCTTTGCTGTGGCCCAGTGCATAAACCAGCATAGCTCACCATCCCTGTCTTCACCATCACCACCGTCTGCCAGTGGGAGCCCCGGCGGCAGTGGGAGCACCAGCCACTGTGACTCAGGGGGTTCTTCCTCCACACCCTCGGCAACCCAGAGCCCAGCAGGTATTGGCCGTGGGACATGGGAGGCTCTGGGAGGCCTTTGGGGACCCTGTGACCCCTCACCTCTACTATGACCTCTGATTCACAGCTCCTCTTCATGGTGTCTGGAAAACACTGCCACTCAAGGGTGTTCTCTTTTGGTTGAGCAGGATGGCACCACCCACCAGCTGCCTGTTGGCTGGTCTGCTCTGTGGGGCTTTCATACCACAGAGTTTTAGGAGACTGTGCAGTTCGACCCAACCCAAGTGGCATGTCATCACTTCTATGTGTCTCACCAGCAGGGGTCTCTCAGGGTGACTGTGAACCCTGGGAGAAGGAAGAATCATGTCCCTGCTGAGTGTGCCCAACGTACACATTTCCTCTCTCGGTGTCACACCAGAGGCATGCCCTGCCACTCTAAGGCACATCAGGGGAGAGCAGGATTACATCCTGCTGTCCTTTAATGTACACTGATCCAAAGGCCATAATGAAGAGTCCATAAAGCGGAGCCAGACCATAATGCCTCGGCCCCACCTCCTCCTGCCTCATCCTGGGCTGTTATTTTTATGAGCAGCTTGCACACATGTGTCTGTCTGTTCTGCATTAGGTCCCAGGAGACAGACATCAGGCTTGGTTCTTGATTAGCACGGGCCCAAATACAGCCAAAAGGGCAAGGCTAAAATAGGTACAAGACCAGTGTCCCCAGCCAGCAGCACTACCCCATGATCTGCAAGGGACCCATGTGTCTAGCCTGTACCCCTCCATGCCTTTCTCTATGCCTCCAAAGTCTGACCAGAGCCCTGCCCAGCATACCTCACAGGGCACCTGGCCCTCCTCTTTTTAGTTATGGAGTGAGGAATCATGGGAAGAGCCATACCAGGTAAAGGCCACAGTGCCGTACCCATCCCCTTGGGACCAGTGTCTTCCTGGGTATTGTACTTCCCAGCATCTGCCAGTGGGAGCCCACTTCTGTTTCCCAGGGCTTTCAGTTTTCATCTTCCCCGCAGAGGTTTAAGTCACCCTTATACATATGCCTGTAGCTCAGGGGATCCTAGCCCACCTGTGCTACCCCAAAGGTACTTTTCCCCATCTCTGTTGATGCCACAAGGCCCAGGCAGGAAGGTCACCCTCAGGTCCATCTCACTGGAACCTCTTCCAACTCCCTGTCTATTCTTCTCCCTGCCCTGGGCTAGGGGGAAGTAACTTCTAGACTCAGCTAAAGGTTAACTACACAAAGTAGCTAAAGATCCACACAGTTGCCATGCTACTCCCAGGCTCCCAGCAGGGAAATGCAGATGGAAATCTTCCAGAGCAAAGAACAGCTGCTGGGGCCCCTGCCTCGGTCTCCCCATGCTCTAGGACAGGCGTGCAGGGCAGCATGTCCATTACTGGATGTATACACTTGCTGACGTGCACATTGCTGTATCTCCATACAAACCCAGACACCCTGTTTGCCAGCACCCCTAGGGTGGATGGTCTTTTCCACATCGCTACGGGCACCTTTCTTCATTTTCAAGGAGGCACAGCCAGGCTCTATGTGAGCAGGTAGCCATATACTTCTTTGCCTTCAACTAAAACCAGAGAGAAGCCTGCACTGTCCAAGTCAACCCTCCAATGTGCACTCATTATTTCGGCCTTCTTCTGTCAGCCCCCAGTCCCCACCGTTCCTGCCCAGTGCCAACAACATGTCTTCACATCTCACAAATCCAGGGACCATTAGCCAGGCTGTCAGATGGCCTGGCAGTTCCAGTGAATAACTGATAGTCAGGACCTCTGAGGTGTCTGCTCCCTTTCACTGTATCCCAGCAGGGATCCCAGCCCCATTTTTTTTATGTGACATGACAGTAAAAGCCTGCGACTGGCTACCCATCCACTCTGTCCAGTCCACATTAGCTCACCTCTTTCAGAAAGGCGACCTGGCCAAGAGCTATGCCTCATTCTGGAGGTGGCGATCAGATGCCCTGAGATGTAGCTGTTGACCCTGAAGAGCCCACAGAACCCATGAGTCTCCACCTCAAATCCTCACATCAGGGTACCCCTTCCATCCAGAACTAAGAACGTGCTTTGTTCCTGAAGGTCCAACCTAACAAAATTGCTCTCCCATGCCCGTGTCCTGTCAGGATGTGCTTGGGAAAAGCCAAGGACAGAGGAGGGGTTGGGGGGTCCCTCGACCAAGTGTCTGAGTTTGACATTAGCTGTAAGTGGCAGCTCAGTATTTGAGAGTCAGAGAAGATGCCCCTACATAGTCTGCTGGCCAATTCTGAAACCTGCCAAGTGCTCAAGGCACTGTTCTTGGATGTACAGCTAGTATCTGGATGAACCGGAGAGGCCTCTGCCTACCTCATTCACCTCTGTTCCTGCTGCTCAGCCTGTGCAGCTGTGGCCTTGCCCATGAGTCCGTCTGTCCTCGGGGTAATTTTGAGGGCATGGTGCTAACACAGGGCCTTGCTGACCTTACATTTACTGAACCTCCCAGAGGTCAGGGAGCCCCTTAATATAGAGAGCAGCTGCCAGGTTCCTCAAAGCCACGATAGCCAACTCTAGAGACTTAGAGGTGCCAATGCCCCACTGCAAGGTCGAGTATCTGGTCAGGAAAGTATATGATTGATGCTGTCTAGCTAGTGGGAGACCAGTTTCCCGTGTCTGTTTCATGGTGTTTAATGCTCAACAATGTACAAGAGGTAAGTCACAAAAATATAGCCAAGTGGGAGGGTTAGGACCTGTGTTTGAATAATTCAGTAGGTCAGCTCTGGGTCCCAATACCTCTGTCAGTTTCAAAACAGCCAGGAGAGCAGATTGGAATATCCCAATCGCAGAGAAACGCTGTCTGATGTGACGACACTCTTTGTCCCTTGACTTGACACATAAGATTCACATGTCAAAACATTATACCAAACCCACAAGTAACAGACACAAATTACACCAGCCTAAAGGATTAAAGACATGGTGAAGACGTTCCTACTTTGCTGACATTTCTCCTGACCTGTGTGGGTTCTTCCCCAGCCCATACATGGTCATCCCAGTATATGCCCTGCATGGCATTCCAGTAGAGACCTACCTATGGCTGGGCACCTTACCTGGGTGCGCTACATAGACATCTCCTCCCTGAGGCCTTCCCCTCTCCCCTTCCATTTGAAAGCATAACATCTCTGACAGATCATGTGACTTACCTATCACACTGCCATTAGCAGGTGGGAGAATTCAAATGTGAACCCTATCCTTAATTCCCAAGCCATGCTCTGCCTTCTGAAACAACCCAGCAGAGAATGGGACAGGGCCTGAATCTTTCTCAGAAATCTCCTGGGTCAGTTTGAATCCTGACTGTAACAACTGTCTCACAGTTGCCTGTGGGCCCAGCTCCAAAGCCACAGTCCTACTGGGAGCACATAGTCCCAGGTAGCAGATGGCTGGGCCTTGTGGGTCCCAATCAGAGGAATGCTTGCTGGGGTCTCCAAAAGCACAGTAGACCCTAGACAGCCACATTTTCTTCTCATGCAGGTTCACCTCCACACTAGGGGTGAAACGGGCTGATGCCCAGAACGGTTATTTGTACATTTGCTTTGTCCAGCTAGTTCGGCCTCATACTTCCTGCCTGGGTTTGAACAAGACTCATGTGTATCGCCAGGATAGGAATTCTCAGATTTTTGTAGAGGCTCCAGCCTGTGCTCCCAGGCATCAGTGGTGCAGGCTGCCCATCCTAGTTAGGTGGCCTTGAGACATGCCCAAGACATCCATCTACTAGAGGGGCCCTCTCGCTGGCTTCTTGCCCTGGATCTTCCTCACTGTGCTGTCTTTCTCTCAGCAGACAGGTTCCTTCCATGCACGGACATTAAATTCCCAAGTGGCAAGCCGGGCGGTGGTGGCGCACGCCTTTAATCCCAGCACTCGGGAGGCAGAGGCAGGCGGATCTCTGTGAGTTCGAGACCAGCCTGGTCTACAAGAGCTAGTTCCAGGACAGGCTCCAAAGCCACAGAGAAACCCTGTCTCGAAAAAGAAAAAAAAAAAAAAAAAAAAAGAAAAAAAAAGAAATTCCCAAGTGGCAAAGCAGGGTTCTCAGAGGTGAACAGAAATAGGCCAGCCTATTAGACGACCACAGAAGCATGTGTGCAATAGAACCACATTGAGGGACCACGGTTACAGGGGCTCCACCAGCTGGCAGAGACCAGCTAAAGAAGGCTCTTGTCTTCCTAGAGAGGAGACCCGAGGAACAAATGCTACAAGTCAGGAGCCCTAAGGAGCAGGTGTCTGACCTCACCAGGTCCGACTGAACCCTGTCCCTATATCTTGTTGGAGATGAGTCCTCTACCCATCTCCCTAAAACATGTCTGCAGATCCTGCCCTCCCAAGTGCAGAAGCAGGCAGTCTGCCTTTGAGAAGCAGTTTCTGTGTCTCATGGCCAAGACCTCTGCCCAGAAGTGGTTTTAGAGCCTGTAGACCCGGCACAAACTGGGACCTAAGCCAAGAGAAAGGGTCCCCTGCAGAGTCAACTGGTGTGCTATGCCAACGACATTGTGCACATTCAAGTGACTTTTTAACAAGGGCTCAAGTGGGCATCCAGAGCTGACACAGAGAAAGCGCCCACACTGCACCCCCGACTGCCTGAGGAGCCTGCCAGAAACAGTGCAAGGGGGTTTGTGTTCCTGGGCAACTTTTACGATCAGAGCTGCGCCCAAGGGGACTTGAGTGGCCTGCTTCAGTACCCATTTACCACTCAGTCTGTTTGCTCATTCTGGTATCTTGTTTTTTGGGTTTTTTTGAAATTAGACTTGTTGTGTTGCCCAGACTGTCCTCAAACTCCTAGGCCCAAGTGATCCTGTCCTTGGGCTCTTCATGCGGAGACCACAAACTTCCGCCATGGTACCCAGATCCATGGCTCTTGAATGGAAGTGCTTTGGGCGGCCAGCACTTTAGTGAAGAGCTGAACACCACGTAGCCAACATAACTAGTATGGCAACCCTCAGCATGACCCCTGGTGAGAAATTGACACTGGAGTCAACACTTTCTTTGAACCTTTTTTACCTTTTTGAGAAGCTGAAATCAAAAGCAGCAACATGGGAAGGGGTCAGAACCAAATGTGGGCCCAGTCCCCTATGCGCCATGTTGATGCATGGCCGCTCAAAGTCACACTGTGGAGTTTGCTTCTGAGACAGGTCCTACCATGTAGATCAGACTAGCCGGACTAGGGCTTCTTCCTCAGACTTGAGTGTGCTGAGATGACAACCAACCGTTGGCCAGTATGCTTGTCTTCTTTATGTGATCCTGGTGAGATACTGCTTCCATGACCTACCCTTCGTTCCTTAAACAGCCCCTTTTGTTTCTGCATCCACAGGAGCTAAGTTTTACAGTTTCTTTGTGAGTTCTTTGAGGAGGAAGACAATGTGTTTATTGGAAATGGTGCCAGAGTGAAGGTCAGGCTGCCCTTGTAAATGGAAATGTCAGCCTGTGAACAGCAGCCGCCACTGGCTGACAGGAAAAAGAAAGGGCTAGCTTCTGGGGAGCCAGTGTTGAGAGACCCCATGACCTCTGACCCCAGGCTCCCTTCTCTGCACCTTTTCTGAGCATCTCTCCTTAATTTTTACCCTGGAGTTCTGGACGCGCACTCCAGTGGCCTTCGAGGGAGGTCTCCAGGGGGGGTGCAATGCTGTCTTTTTTCTGCAGTGCTCTTTTTTTCTTTTTTCTTTCTTTTCTTTCTTTTTTTTTAATAGTGGCAAAATATACCCAAGCTGAAATGGACAGATGCGGCCGTCCTCAGTGTGACGTCCTGTGGTGTTTGTTCACATCACTGTGCTCTGTGGCATTACTATGCCTCTCTCTTGCAGTCTGTCTGAGAATATGACCCACCACACCCTGAGTCAGTCCTTGTGTTGCTGTTCCAGCTTGTGCCTTTCCATTTAGCCACTGGCTGCTGGGTCTTGCCATTTTCTGCTCTGTGTCCTTGGTTCCCCAGCTGGGGCTTTCCAAGTCGTCCTCCTCCCCCAAATATGTCTAAGACAGGTGTCAGGATACCTCCAGCATCCAGGATTTGCCTAAAACTTGACTTTCCCCATGGTCAGAAATGCTTAGTTCGCTCTGGTTTGCCTCTGTTCCTCAGACCCTCTTTCCTATGGGCATTTCCTCCTGTATTTCCCATCTTTCTGCAGGTCCCAGATAAAACGAGCAGGCAGTTTTGTCCTTTTGCCCCCTGATTTTTCTGACAAGACCAGAAGTTAGCAGTGACTCAAATCTTTGCAACAGGATTGAACCTTCTGTCTCTAACCATATTAAGTTGAATGAGTGAGGGGTTGGCGCTGTAGCTCATCAGCCACATGCTAGCCTGGCATGCACAGAGTCTGAGTTCCATCCCCAGTGCCATAGAAATCAGGCCTGATGATACATGCCTGTGATGTACTTAGGAGGCAGAGGCAGAGGCAGGAGGATCAGAAGTTCCAAGATTCTCCTTGACCACGTAGCAGAGTCTGAGGCCAGCCCTGACTATATGAGACCCTGACTAATAAAGGGAAGAAAAGATGCATAAATGAGCAATTTTTTTTCTTAAGTCTCCTGACCTTGGCTCGTCTTGGGGGACAGCATGGATGTGTCCTGTCTACCTGGTGGGCTGCCAGTCTGGGTGCCACTCCAGCCATAGCCCTTCTCCCTTTGTTCCTGCTAATGCTCAGTGTCTGTCACTGCTGTGTCCTTTTTCCACCTCACCTTCGCCGTTCCATTGTTACAGGCTTTCTATGATCTGTCGCTGTGTTTTCCCTCTAGTCAGGAGTGGCAGGAAAGGACGCCGGCGTGTGTTCAGCCTGTCGGAGGCCGACAGTCACGGCGGCCACTGGGTTTAGTGCTTCGACCAGCAGCTGCCACGGCACCTCACGCACAATCAAATCAGGCAGGTCTCCTTCAGGCGCCCCCATGGGCCCATGATATTCCTGCCACATGCAACAGGGTTGGCATGAGCAGGGCGGGAAAGCTGGGCCTAGAGAGCGCACCATCGCCACCCCAATCTCAGCTTCCCTGAAGTCAGTTCTTTCCCTTTCTGTCTTCTGTCTAAGGCCACACCCCCTGGTCAGTCTTTCCTTGGTATCCCAGAGTGTTGTAGTGTTCCTAAAGTCCTACCCAACATCAGGCTCAGTGTTGCTCCCCAGAGTCAGCCCTGAGCTGGAGGCCATGTCCCATGTGTCCATGCAGATAGCTGCAGTTCAGCTAGCTCACTCCTGACTAGAATCGAGAGCGTGTGAAAAACAACCTACAGTGTTCTTTCCCAAGCAACAAATGCAGCTCTCCAGGCCCAATGTTACCGCCTTGGTAGATGACACAGTTCCATTGCTCCAGTTACTTTAACATTACCAGGAAAGGTGCCAGGCTCTCTTTGTCAGGGCCAGCGCTGCTGCTGTTCTAGGATTCACACATACACACACACACAGCGTGCTGGTTGAGGTGTCCATGTACTGACAGTGTCAACAGGAACCCTTCACTTTCTTTTCAGTTTGCCAGCTGACCCTCTGCGCTTTGCATCAGCTTGCTACATGGAGCCCGCCCTTCCTCCCTCCCTCCTTCCCTCCCTCCCTCCCTTCCTCCCTTCCTTCCCACAGCACTTGCCTGCCTTTCCAGCCTATATTCAGCGTGTCCACATCATTTCTAGAAGCTATCCCTTACTTTACAAAGACCAGTGAAGCCCTGCTCTATAGCTGTAGATCACATCTGTGGGGGTCTGCCAAGACATTTCCAGTACATTCACAGGCAGAGGCTGGAGGCCCTCAACCTTCCTGGGAACACAGCTTGCTGTGTAGCTCCTTCTCTTTCTGTGACTCTGCCTCCGCAGCCCATGTCCAAACCCTCCTTCTCAGTGCCCAGTCTGTAGCCTTTAGGCCCAGAGGCCTCAACAGAAAAGAGATTCCAAAGGTCCAACAGGTCACCTTTGCTGCTCAGCCTTGAAGCAGAGAGTGGCCTTGCAGTGCCTTCCCCCGGGAAACCTGCCTTCTCTTTTTTGCCCCTTTGGTTACATGAACTTGCTGCCTATTTTCAGGAAGAAATTCCTAGTGTAAACAGCAATTGAAGGTGGGAGCAAGAGGGCATCCTAATGACGAAGAGTGTTTTTAAAGTGGACAGAAACATCCCTTTTGAGAGAGCTGTTACTTTTCCCCTCTATGACGCTGTTAATGGTTTTGCTCTTTTTTGATAGCTTAGACTATAGTCCTTGTGCCTGCCTGATTATTCTCATCAGCAAAAGCCCCATAGAGAACCAGGAAAGAGGTAAGGGCCCAGGAAGGCGATACTTCTGCTTCCCAGTCCCAACACCAACATCAGGACAATTCCATGTGCAGTGACTCGTTTCCCAGCTGCCCAGCCATGGACCCTGTCTCCCAGGAAGTCTCAGACCCGTCTGAAAACCTTTATCAAGGTGACGGCAGGTTCACACAAGGTCACAACAGGGACCTGTGTGAAGCCAGCCCAGCTCAGGGGAATTGGTACACAATGGAACAAGTTAGTGGACAGCCAGAGAAAACAGCACTGATGGTGTGAACAGCACTTCTGGGCTCAGCTCATACCTATTTCTTTCTTTGCATCGGTTCTCACTGATACCCACAGCCCCTCAAGCAAGGATGGACCCAGAGCCACAGGGACTGGCTTTCTCCAGACTTCTCTCACTTGCTCCCTCCCTCTTCTTTTTCCTTTTTAAAGAAAGGGAGTAGTAGTAACTCAGTGGTAAAACATTTGGCTAGCATCATGCATGAGGCCTGGGTTCTATCCCCAGAAGTACAAAAAAAAAAAAAAAAAAAGTAAAGAAAGCCCTTAGGAAAGAGGCCCTTCTAGATCCCAGTGTGCCCTGGGAGAGTCCGTGTGCTTCCCTTTCCCTGCTCTCCACCCCATTCTTCATATCGCCTGGTTTTATTTGGTTCTTCGTTCTTCCATCGTTTGGCTCTATGTTCCGTTCACTTTTCTGTTTTATTTTGGCTTAAATGAGAAAATAAAAATTAATTCAACCAGAGTAACATTAAACCAAAACAACACCCCATATGCCCTCTAAGTCTCCTCACATGACTTGAGGGCTGAATAATCACCATCTTCTGCCCGAAGACTGTTAACCCTAAAATCCATACAAATATCAGCGTGCAGCCCAAGTGACACTCCCAGCACTGCTCTCGGGGTCTTCAAATGCCCAGCCTCTGCAGTCTTGGATGGCATTTCCCTTGAATGCCACACATTCCTGGCTGACTCATCACTGAAAAGCAAATGGCCATAGTCTATCTACAGTCAAATCAGGGTTTATAAAGCACCCAAACGAACAACAACAAAACCCAGCTATTTAGCACGTCTGGTAGAGGTTGACAGCTCCTCTTCATGGCACTTGTGGGAAGCTTCTGACAGTCATGTCTTTGACAAGCCCATCATCCCCTCGGTGGGTGCAGAAGGCAAAGACAAACCATAGCACCAGATTTTAACTATTGCACTGGACTCCTTAGCAAATACCTCCACGTGTAGCCCCTAACAGTCGCCTGGGATTGCAGGTGTGCAGCAGCCTGCTTGTTTCCCATTTATGTATTTATCGGCAGGCAATTGGCCATGACTCATCCTGCACACAAAGCCTGCCCAGGCTGAGTTTCACTTTCAGTGTCTACGTGTTGGTGTCACACCAGGCCTGAGCTTTTCCCTGCTGTCACAGTCGGACCCCCAGGCTCCTGACATACGACCCCTAGGACTTAGCAGCTTCTGGGTCCCTAAAAGGAGTAGGTGGAACCAGGCCAGGCCCTAACACCAACAGTCTCCCCGCAGGTTTTTCTGCCTTGATGCAGGACAGGAGTGGTGGGTGCCAGCTGATTACAGTGTCACCACAGCTGAAAGTTTCTCTGCTTTCCTCCCTTAGATGCCCCCACAACTCCAGAACAGCCTCAGCCTCACCTTCTAGTCCAGTCGGTGATTGTGAATGAAATGGATGTCAACTCCAAGCCCAGCAAGAACTTGGCCAGGAACTCTGAGGTGGAGACCATGCACCTGTCCCCCAGCCTCCTCCCTGCCCAGCAGCCCACCATCTCCTTGCTCTATGAGGACTCTGCTGACACGCTGAGCGTTGAGTCGCTGACCCTTGTGCCCCCAGTCGATCCTCACAGCCTGCGAGCCCTCACTGGCATCCCCCAGCTTCCTGCACTGGCCACAGCAGGCCCAGAGACCCCAAATGAGGACACTGTATACCCAGAGCCTGCGAGCCCCACAGAGCACTGAGTGGGCACCCAGGGATCTCCCTTTGTGTATGCGGCCTGCTGGTAGGGACCCCAGTGTAGTTTTTGACAGCAAGACACATCGGGAGCACCCACAGTTCTCCATGGCCTTGGAAGCTGTCCCTGATACCTCTCCCTGCAAGACAGCCATGGACCACTGGAGTTTCTCATTTGCTCTGATCTCTTCCTGAGCAGGCTGGGATCCAGAGACAGCCTTCTGTGTACAGGTGATGGCACTGGCCGCCCAGAGGGGTCCCGACAGCCCCGGGTGGCACCCTCCTTCAGGCAGCTCCCTTGTTTTTCTCTCCCCATACGCACAGAAGCGGACAAGGTTACTTTGGGTAGAACTCTGTAGAGAAGCATCTAGATAAATATCTCTTTCAGGCTATTTATTTCTGGTTTTGGCAACAGGTGAAGAGATTTATTTAAAAAGTACTATTTGCAGGGGGGGGAGCAAAAAGAAAAAGTCCTCAACCATGAGGCTCCAGGTCACACTAGAAGTGCCAGCTGTTAAGGTTCCCCTTCTGTAGAACTTTGCCGTGTATTTATTCTGAAGTTGTGGGTGTCACTTCCTCTGTTTCCCTGAGTGATTCTTGTTTCTCTGTCCCAAATTCTACAAGCCTGTGGGATGATAAAATCTCTCCCTGAAACATTCAAATACTTCTAAACAAGAAGAACTATGGCCATATGGAGTGAGAAAGCCCACTTTTGTGCTGTGATCTAGGTGACGTCTGCCCTGCTCAGGATACCACACAGGCACAACCTGCAGCAGGCTTACTACCTTCTCCTTCATCAAGAAAGACCACTGAGACCAAGGAGGCCCTAGTCCAAGTGGCCATGACGGGAGTCAAAGGATTTAAGACACAGGAAGTCATCCTCAGATGTAGCCAGCTTCCCAATATGCATATGGATGCCCAACCAGGGGCCCAGCTGCAAATCAGGTGACCCAAAAGCAGACTCTTCCCTTCCCTATCCATTGCTGCCTCTAGCATACAGCTTGTTTCAGTATGAAAATCCCATGCTTCTCGGTATGTGCCAGCAAAACCCAGATCTGTCCTATCAGCCCCCAGCTTTCCTTTGCATGCAATCAGCCAGACCACCACTCATGGCTCCATGGCAAGGCTTTCTGTTGTCTTTCCTGCCAGTACGGCCTGATCCAGTGTCACTATCTACAAAAGGCTAACCACGAGGGTACCCTGGGGAGGCCTGTCACCATCTGCCCATCAGAAGTCCTTGCCACCTCTGTTCAGCCCACTTCCCTGCAGCCCCAGTGCTCCCCAGGAGGGGAGTGGTGCCGGTGTGGACTGGCCTCTCTGGTTTTTAAAAGCACTTCTGCCTAGAGGCAAAAGCTCCAAAGGCAGTGGCAAGAAAGGATGTGCCGAGCCCCTGGAAAGGGAGGAGAGTGATGGCCACCAAAAGAAGGGTTCTCCCAGCCCCCACAACCAACCCTGGTTATTTCTTGATCATCTGCAGGAAGGGGTAGTCAGAGAAGCAGGCACTTTGGGTTTTGAAATGGCCGTTGCGAGGGCAGCATAAATGTTATAAAATGCAGTGTGGCCAGAGAGAAATGCCTGCAGCCAACCTTAACCCACCCGTGCAGGTGGGCCCCACCCCTTGGGACTAGCCTCTTCTCTGCAATCAGGAGGTTTCAAGGAAGGGAAAAGGAGCAAGGTGGTGAGCAAACTCCGAAAGAGCAGCTGCTATGGAGTATTCATCAAGGACAAGCCTGCCCTCCACATCTTGTAAGATTGTTTCCAAAGGCTTCCTGCAGCCAGGCACCCAGGGGTACCTCCAAGTGTGCAAAAATGAATTTCCTGTGCACAGAGTCCTTGGCTCTTTGCTGATGAGGGGGTCCTGGAGGAAGGAGCTGGCCAGGACGCTTTCTCACTAGGTCTTGATGGCAGTGGGCACAACCCAGTCCTCAGGAACACCTTACTATCTTGGCAGCTGCTCTCTAGGCAGACCCAGCCAGAGAGAACATACTGGGTCTCCCATGGTCAGCCATGGGAGGTAGAACTGAGGGATATCAGGTCTAAAAGGTCACGCAACTTCTGACTTGGAGGTCCCAGAATCAGCCTTCAGAACTGTTAGTCCCATCTCCAAGGGCACGCATGCCATGCCTGCCCTGGTCTCTCTCCCTTCTGCCACTGCCCTGGGGCAGACTAGCAGAGCTGTCCACATAAGCCCCACATCTCAGTTTTGACCATCACCATAGAGAATGGAGCACTGCCCCTCCTATTTGGAGGCATGGGCAGGGGGGATACTTCCCACAGGTCAGACTCAGTGTAGTGGTGAGCTCTCTGTATGGTGGAGGTGGTGGAAGAGGCTTCCAGAGCTGATCCTCTGCTATCTCACCCAGCCTAGTCACCCACTCACATACTTGGATTGCCAGGGGCTGGATGACTACATCCCCTCCTAAGGACGACACTGGCTTTCTCTGTGGCCTCTAAAATGCACAGTTGTAAATAAGGCACAGGTAAGCCAGGTCTGGTCTTTTGTAGATGCAATAAATATATTTCATGCAGTAACAATGGGTAGAAGGTTAAATGCTTCCTCCCTCAGAGCTGAAGCTGTAAGGGACAGTGGCAGAGGGGGACAGGGCTGGGAAGCTCTGGCCAGGGAAGTGCCTGCTTCTGCCAATAGGATTTAGGCTTTATGGGGACTAAACCCGAGGGGGGCATGAAAGCTAGAACTTCCTTGTAAGTTGGAACTTGGCAATAAAAAACAAAACCAATGGTCCAGAATTGTGTCCTGCTGTTCCTTGGCACCATGGCAGGAGGCTATGCCCATCACGGGAAGGGTCATCGAACCCCTTGATCAGTCATCACCAATCAGGTGGAACGAAAGTTCTGGAGATCTCACTGCCATCTCCAGCTCTGCTGCAGTTCCCGGGAGCAGTTCTACCCACAAAGGGGGATAGCTTCTCGGGTTTGCTCTGCCTTGGCTGCTCCAAACCTGCTGCCCGCTGCCATGTGATATGGGCTGCTGTGGCCCTGCCTGCTGGGATAGAGGCAGGAAGGGCTCCCCATCTGGGACAGCCAGGTGACACTGCTGGTCACAACTCCTGCACACCCCAACATGTACCAAGGTGAGCCCTGGAAATCTCTGGACCCAGAATCACAGGGTTCTTTATGGCTTCTGGTGCTCTGTCTTGAACCTAGTCCAGAAATGCCTGAGGACATAAGAGTCTTGAAAGCAAACCCAAAAGAAGAAGCTGGACACTCAAGCTCATATAGGATCCTTACAGAAGGAACGAGGCCCAGCCTTGTGCTGGCAGCCAGCATGGCCTACTTCTCTTTCTGGCCTGTGGTTGTCCTAGTTCCTTGGAAGCCCAGCCATGATCTGGGCCTGGGAAGGCTCTGGGGTCCCTTGAGTGGGGTTACCAAATGGAGTCAGCTCACCACTGGGGCGTCAGCCGAAGGCCCCACCTTCAGTCTCCTTTCCCTCACAGCGCTCCTGCTTGGTTGTGTGGGCATTCACATGTCTGAATGCTTTGGTCTGTGGAAGGAACATACTGGAAGCATGCACAGGAAAGGGGTGACCTCAGGATGGACGGGGCCAGGAACAGCTGTTGACTATCCTGGGTCTCCAAGAGCCAGGCCCTCAGGGATGGAGAGACCCGGGTGAGGGTCCCCTAAACACAGATGAGGAGACAGGAGGTGCAAGTCCCCAGGCTGGGACAGGAAGGAGGAACAGCAGCACTTTTGCAGACATGGATATGTATTGGACTCATCTGGAATTCAAGTCCAGAGCAATAAGCACACACCCCAGACCTAGTCATCAAAATCCTTTCAGTACCCCCACTGAGGGCCCTCAGCATTGCCTGGGCTCAGAGGAAGTGCCCACTCAGGGTGGGCCTAGAGCCCACCTTAACACGGGTGTGGTTGCCACTGACTGCTGCTACCAATACCCGTCCACCCTCGCAGCTTCCTTTACCCCCATAGCAGCCCTGCTTTGGACTTGTGGGCATGTGGGCATGTGTATGTCTTGGTGTCTTCAGCCTAGAAAAGGAACTTACTGTAAATAAACTCAGGAGGGTAGCCTCGAAGTGGGGAGAGTTAGAGGACTCCTAGTCAGTCATAGCAGCGTAGTATGTGTGTGTGAACATACATGCATGTATGTAGAAGGTGGTCAACAATGGTCATCATTCCTCAGTCACTCTCTAGACAATTTGTTTTGAGACAGAACCTACCTGTCTCTCTGCCTGCAGTTCACTGGTTTTCCTAGGCTGGCTGGGCAGCAGCAAACCCCAGGAATCCTCTCTCTACCTCTCCAGTGTCACCTCGCCTGACTGTGTGTGTGTGTGTGTGTGTGTGTGTGTGTGTGTGTGTGTGTGTGTGTGTGTGTTCTGGGCATGGAACTCAGTTCCTCATGCTTGCAAGGTAAACACCTTACCAAGCACTTAGTCCCCAGCTCTTTATAAGTTGACTCTCTCTGGAATCTGTTACAATAGAAAACTGACTAATCTCAACCAGGACTCCCCTGTGACTAATGTGGTGGCTGGAGGCTAAGCACTTTCCATTCTCCTGTTGTGTCCCCTGCAGATCAGCCATGGTCTCTGTCTCCTTGGAGATCTGTCACAGAGTGTCCCGCCCACTGCAAGTGGGAGGGGCAAGTAAGGGCGGGTAGCAGCATCCTGCCTACCAGCAATCAGAGTCCCTCGCTGGAGGGGAAACCGCATCCCAAGCAGCCAGATAAGGAAAGCCCCTTCTACTTCTGTCTGCTTCTTCATGGCTCTTCAGGGTACTAGGAAAGAACCCTCAAGGCCTAAAGTGCCTTTCTCCAAAAGAAGGTGGGTTTGGCATAGCTAGATACATGGGTTTCCCAGGAATTCACCCCGGGGTACATGATGCTCAATGGGGCGCTTGCATGCCTCACTCTCCCACAGGCAGGCCATGGTGCCCTAGCATTGCCCCTTTGTGGTTCTACCACCCAGACTACCCACATTTACCCACATCATTAAGGCCAGAGATACCAGGCTCTGCGCTTAGCCTGACGCCTGGGCCTTGCCCATCCTCTGGTGTTCCCACACCCCAGCTCAGCCTAGGGTACTGAAGTTGGAAGTCACACCTAGAATAGAGGACTCTGTCCTACCTTTGTCCACTTCTAGCAGGGTGGAAGTCACAGGAGTCTGTTCTCCCATGACTATGGCAGTCACAAGTGCAAACTCAAGCTCAGTGCAGCTGGCACTCTGGAAAACGAGAGACCCCGTTCCATGCCTCTCTCTCAGCTTCTCATGCTCTGCAAGCCTCATGTCCTAGTAAGTGAGTCACCAGGCTCTAGGTCCATGTTCGTAGGGCTGTGGGTCTCCATGCCTCATAACCTTCTCCTTTCCCTGAAGACATCAGTCATGGGGCGAGGACTCACCCTGATCAGGGTGATCTCATACGTTCCTTAGGCTGCTGACATCTGCAAAGGTTCCAGAGATTAAGACACAGATGCCTTCCCTAAACAGTCATGGCGCAGAACACGAGCTTGCCAAGAATGAGCAGTGTCACACAAGCAAACTGAAAGCAAATCCAGGGAACGCACTCTTGGAGTTCTGATGGTGGTGTTTGGGTTTTGTTGGTATGTGATATTTATGTGTGTGTGTGTTCGTGTGTTTGTAGTTAACGTGTATATGTGCATGCATGTCAGTTTGTGCATGTGGAGGCCTCAGGCATTGTTTGTCAGGGTCACTATTGTGATGAAACACCATTACCAAAGCTACTTGGGGAAGAAAAGGCTTATTCAGCTTACACTTCCACATCGCTGTTCATCATCAAAGGAAGCCAGGATGGGAACTCAAAACAGGTCAAGAACCTGAAGGCAGAAGGCAGAAGCACAGAGGGGTGCTACTTACTGGCTTGCTCCTCATGACTTGCTTGGCCTGATTTCTTATAGACCCCAGGACCACCAGCTCAGGGATGGCACCACCCACAATGGGCTAGGCCCACCCCCATCAATCATTAATTAAGATAATGCCCTACAGGCTTGTCTACAACCTGATCTTACAGAGGCATTTTTTCAATTGAGGCTCCCTCCTCTCTAATAACTCTAGCTTCTGCCAAATTGACACAAAACTAGCCAGCTCACTAAGTACTGTCCACCTTGATTTTTGATACAGGGTGTCTCTCACTGGCCTAAAGCTCACCAATTAAGCTAATATGTCTGACCTGCAAGCCCCAGGCATCCTCTTTCTCTGCTTCCCCAGCCCAGGGATTACATGTGCACACCACCATGTCCAGCTTTTTTTTCCAAGACAGTTTCTCTATGTATCCCTGACTGTCATAAAACTCACTTTGTAGACCAGGCTGGCCCCAAACTCACAGAGATCCACCTGACTTTGCCTCCTGAGTGCCAGGATTAAAGGCATGCACCACCACTGCCACCCAGCTCCCAGCTCTTTTCTTTTTACTTGTTGTCTTAGTTAGGGTTTCTATTGCTGTGAAGAGACACCATGACCACAGCAACTCTTATAAAGGAAAACATTTAATTGGAATAACTTACAGTTTCAGATATTTAGTCCATTATCATCATGAAAGGACATGGCAGTATGCAGGCAGACACAGGAGAGGAGCTAAGAGTTCTACATATTGATTCACAGGCAACAGAAAGTGAACTGTGTTACTGGGTGTAGCTTGAGCATAAGAGACCTCAGAGCCCACCTCCACAGTCTTACACTTCCTCCAACAAGGCCACACCTACTCCAGCAAGGCCACTCCCTATTGGGGCCATTTTCTTTCAAACCCCCACACTTGTGTCCTTAGGACAAACTCAGGTTTTGACCAACTGAGCCAGCTGTGCCCCCAGCCCTTGCATCTTTTTTTGAGAGAGGGTCTCATTATCTAGCCCAGACTGGTCTTATACTCAAGATCAGTCTTATACTCAAGGTCTTCTTCCCCACTCCTCCAGGACAGGATTGTAGTGCCTGCACTACGGGACAGTGCGATCCGGGAACTAGGCTGGAGATTTAAAACACGCATGCAGAGAGAGAGAGAGAGAGAGAGAGAGAGAGAGAGAGAGAGAGAGAGAGGCACACGGGTCATCCTTGAAACAATGCCAACTTCATTGTGCTCCAGGGAAGTTTATATAGGGATCCTTAACTGATAGCCACATCCCAGCTCTTGGGATTTCCATCTGTAAAACGCATCAGAATTCACTCCCTTGCCATCAGGAACTCATGAGGGTCTTGGGCTCAGAGCAGCTGCAGGCACAGGAAAACAAGTTGTTTCACTCCAGTAGGCAAAGGGCCTGAGGCAGGCAAAAAAAGCCAAGGGGTCAGGAGTCTGCAGCCCCAAACACAGGATCACAGCTGGGCCCCTTGCCACTCCCACCTATGGATTTAGCCAAGTCCCATGCCTGCCCTGTCTGTTGAAGGGACTCCATGTTGAGAGAGGCTTGCAGCACCTCGTCAAGGTTTTTCTCTTGGATGGGATCATCAGGGTGACAGAAGAAAAGAACCAGGTCACAGTGGGACTCAGAAGTCAACTCAGGACTGTCAGATGAAAGGCAATGTGTGTGGCACAGCTTGCAGGTCACAGTATGTCATGAGCTATGTCAGCTCTCCTCCATCAGAGCACCCTAATTCTGCCAGGCTGAAGGTGACCGAGTCTATTGACAGAATTTCCCAGAGCCTGGCGTGTGACACTGTACCTGGAAAATGAATGGGCAAGGCCATAAATTCCCAACCTGAGTTCTCATATGGGTCAGCTTTTGGCCTCAGTCACTCAGATTAACACTGGTATTATCCAGGCC